CCTAATCCTCTAATATTCTCAACATTATGCCGTGACGAAGCAATCCTCCGAGCGCGGCTTAAAGCTAAACCTACATATTTTAATGACTAAAGCTAGTTTAAATTCAAGTTTAAAGCCTTTGACACAGGTCGAGCTCATAAGACATATTTCAGAGAGTGTTAAATCAGCTTTTGTGAGCCATGCACTGCTTACAAATGAACCAAGCTGCGTCTGTGTTTTTTTTTTCGTTTTTTCATCCGAGCAAACAAGTGGGCCACTTCTGTGGTGACCGGAGCAGATGAAAGCGGCTGGTGAATGTGCCTTTAAGTGTTTTTTTTTTTGTTTTTTTTAAACACACTGGAGGAGCGGACTGTGCCCGGGCTGGGTGGGAAGAGCCTGAGATGGGCTGCATCCGCTTACGCACATTATCTGTGAGAGCATGCTGCTTCTTGGCTTTCCCTTCACAAAGGCCGGTACACAGGGTCAGAGAGAGTGGGAATAAGAGACGTGTGTGCTTACACCCTCACATGAACACACTGCTTCTTCGTCTTTGCATACGGGTACATTTTTGTGTGTGCGTGGCCGTCTCTCTATGGCGACCTGCGAGTCTCTCTGTGTGTGTGTGTGTGTGTGTGTGTGTGTGTGTGTGTTTCCTTGCCTACTCAGTATCCTGTCCTCTTAAGATTTCATACATTGATTGCCTCCTGTAGGAACAGACAGCTACATCTCGTCTATTTTCTGCTTTGGCAGGTATTAAAACCGCTCTAGCTTTGCCCGGCTAGCTTAACACTTTACAGAGATTTATCGAGCTAGACTGTGCTCTGTTTTTCATCCCTTTTTACTTTTTCAGCTTCAGTGTGGCGAGCTACAATATGCGCTCAGTGAGTCATGGCTTTTTAAGATTCTGATTTAGTATTATAATCACAGAATGCCTTCTGGCCCGCACTCTAACCAGACCAGACATAATAAGCTGCTCCCGGCTCATATTTCATGCCGAGGTGAGGTTGCGGTGAGTTGCACGGATACTCGCGTAGCTGCCCCGGCGCAGCCTTGGTTGTATCTCAGGAGATGAGAGCATGAATGCCAATATATCTGACCCGCTGCCACCTAACACTCTCTCAACACTTGTCTACACCCTGCCATGGGAAGGCAGATGATTCATGCCAATGAAGTGATTTCAGACAGAGGGGAGGACACGATGAAGCCACTCCTCGTTTGTCACTTCTCCCGGTCATTTGCTGTCAGAGAAATAAACTTCAGTCTTTGTTGATTGTGATTAAAACTGTGAATAAAGGGGATCTGCTTAGCCACTTTGAACTAGCACTGCGGCTTTTTAGTGCAACTTTCATCTCCCCTCCTGTGGCTGAAAGAATCACATCCGTCCCTCCATCATTAAGCAGCATTAATTATTTCTGTAAATAAGAAGGATTATTATGTTATTTTTTCCGGTGCCTGAATATCTAATTGAATTTGACTGGCGCTACGACCTTCAAATAAAAGGTAATGAAGTCAAGAAAAGCCAAAATTAATTTACTATGATTGTTAGAATAAATGGTTTAAGCAGCAAGTAGTCGACGCATTATGAAGATTGACTTCTCCATTAGCCTCATGATTTTCAATCGTTTTGTATTTAGTCCAAGAAGAATAAATAGCAGCCCGTTTATTATTTTAGAGTAAGTTATTTATTCCTGTCACCGTGGTACTTAACGCTTAATGGGCCAATGGGATGCTATACGACCCAGCAGAGTTTTTTTTTTTTTTAGGTTTTGTGCAAGAGTGAAAGCCCAGTGGAATAACAGAGGAATAAACATCCCCAAACGTACCCTTCTTACAAAACAATAAAACAGAAGGAGCAGACACATAGGGCAAGGCGCCTGCCGGGGTTTGTGGCATGGTAACAAAGTTGGAAATTAACCTTTTAGTGTTTGCAAGATGATATATCACCAGCGAGACACAAACTTCCAGGATGCTGCTTTGTTCAATGATTATAAAACATTGCCCTAAATTGTCTGCCCTTTGTGTCACAGGTAGTCAAGGAAAATGGTAAAAAAAAAAAAAAAAAGAAAGTCCCTCAATTCGAAAAGAGGCAGCTCTTTTGTTAGAGAATTTGCCTGTAGCATCAGTTAACTCAGAGCCGCAGCTCATTTACCGAGACAATTGTATCAGATGCTGATAACACGTTTATAATAGACGGCCAGAAGGAGCCTCTTTATGCACTTTCAGATACTCTCAGGGTCTCGTGTTACTTTACCAGAGGACGGTTGGTTGCATCACAATTTTGGACCAAAGTTATCGCGGAGAGTGTCGGCTTTTTCCTCGAGGATCCACTGATTCACGTCGGGCTCATTTCTTATTTAGGCCGACCTGTCACAATGACTGAACGGCTGCACTGTTTGGGAAAACGAGGTCAAAAAAAATGTTCAAATGTAATGTCAGTGATCGCTCTGAATCAGAGACGTTTTTTTTATGCACAATGGGATTGCGAGCCTCCGTGATAGAAATTGAACTGGTAGCTTTAAACCTACGAGAAAAGATCAAAAACTAAAAACGGCCGTTGGCTTCATTTGCATTCACCTTGATGGGGACATTAACAGGCACTTTTATTGACTGGGGAGTGGAATGGTAACTGCTGTCAGATGTGTTATTAGACGGACAATCATAAGAGACATGATGATGCTCCGTCACTGTCACCGACGCCCAGCAATCATTTCTCCTCATTGATTTTAAAGGGGTTGTTAAATTGGACTGAAATTGTCTACTGTATATGAAACGTTGTTGTTATTCTGCTTGTGCTCTCTTCTGTACAGCTTATTCTACACTCTGAAGGGTCCTAAAGTAGTAACTTGATTTATTTGAGTGGCTGTGTTGCGATGAAGAGATGACTAATGCCAAGATTTGACTTCAAAATCAGCTTGATTGTGGCGCGAGTCAACAGGTGTGGATTCAATTTCCATTGGCAACAGCTTGTTTTATCAAAGCAGTATTCATTTGATGAATTATTCTGGGGCGCCCATGGCCTAGCGGTTATGTCTCAAACCCCATGTGCAGAGGCTTTAGTCCTCGTCTGAGCGGCCGTGGGTTCATATCCAACCCTAACCCTCGGACCTTTTACTGAACGTTGTCCCCAACTCTCTCTCTTCACAACATTTCCTGTTTCTGTTCAGCAGAAATGCCAACAAATTTTTTTATAAATTATTCATAAAAACTGTTTTATTTCCGCCGTGTACCACTCATATTTTACTCCAGAATCGGCAATCTTCCACCACCATGACTCATGTACATTATTACTAGTGGGCGTGCTTTACGACATTAACTGCAGCTGCTCGCGAACCGGCACTTCCATGTGCTGTGACATATAGTGTGGTATGCCGCTGTTTCCGAAGTGGCAATTCCATGTGCCATGGTATGTGTCAGTGCTGCTTTTCGATCTTGGCGCTACTGGGAGTCAAGACCAAGACCCAAGACCCAAGACCCAAGACCAAGGCAGGGCTAGACCAAGACAAGACCAGGACCAAATATCAATGAAAAATCATCAACTTGTGTGCAGCAGACATATCACTCACTTAGACCGTAACACGGGAAAGGTTGGACGTAACATGGGGAAAAAATGAAATTACAAATGAATTGAGGTTCTTTGTTGTTTTAGAAAGAGGAGTTTTCCTTCTAATCACAGTAATGACATGGAAAAATAGCCAGTGGTGTTCTTGATTTTAAAATCTGGAATCCGCCCAGTCCGAGAAAAATGCTTAAAAATGCTTTTGACTTCTAGAAGAGACCCAGACTGATTTCAAGTACTACAACACTTCTGTCAGGTGTTTTCCAGCTGCTCCATGACAGCTTAAATCATAACTATTCATTCGAAAACACTCTTGAAAATCCCAGAATAAAAAGAATAAAAATGTGAATAATTGAATACAGTTGTCCTTTGGTTCACTTTCATTGCATCATACTACCATGTCATGTCCTCTTGTTTCATCATCGTCATTGTCTGTAGTGTTATGATCCTGGAAGCCTGTTAGACGTCTCTAAAAGGTCGGGGGGGGGATTGTGAAAAACATCGGTTTAGCGTGTTGTTGTGGGGAGGGGGGAGAGGAGGGCTTTTAGAGAGCTTTTCCATGTTCCTCCTCTTTGAGATTTTTTTTTTTTTTTTTAATTGTTTGGGTTCGAAGCAGGCTTCTCAGCTGGAGCTCGTCTGTGGGGCTTTGCTGAGTCACTCCCACCTAATGGGGAACATCTGCTGCCACGCTTTTTACCTCTCACAGCAGAGATATGGGCGCCTGTTTGAATGGGGGGGGGGCACTCTGGGGGAGGAATTAGTGAGATACTGCAAGCTGCTGTCGAGAAATGAAGACAGTCAGTCTTTTAATCTGTTGATGGTGTACCTCATTTTTTGGTACAGAAATCCAAACCCACACCTCGTGTAGAACATCGTTTTGCCATCTAAAATTATTGATACGGAAACTTATTTTTTGAACTCATGAGGAACGGGTGTGTGGATCATTAATCTAAGGGTTGTTTTTGTCAAATATCGCTTCTTCAAGGTCAACGGTTAATTGTTGTTGAGCACGATAAAGATCATTTATGGTCCATACTGTGGTTGTGTTGGAGTTTGCTGCCATGAGTTTGAGAACAGGTACACATGGTTGAAAAGGTCACCAGTTATTTGAGCACAGGGGTCACCTTGATATCATTTTGTTTTGCAGAAGTTGTAGTAAAAGCACTTTTAATTTCTTACCTGTAGTCATGACTTTGCGTTTGTGCATGTTGATGTACTGTACAGATGTTTAGAATGAGTGTTTACTCCCAAACTTCTACCAAACTTCTGCCGCTAACTTCTTCAAAACGTCTCCTTCTCCTCCATCTCGACGGTCCAGCTTTGTTTGCGAAGCTCTCATCATCCTAATAATGCTTTTTTTAACAGCTGATTTCTGTCGCTCGATCTCTCAGCAGACAGTTGGTCACGCTGCAAGTGGTCCCAGAATTATTAATATTTATCGTCTTCTCTTCCCCCCCCAAAACAGATTTCTGTGTAGTCTGGTCCAGGGGCATCTGCTGCAGTCATGTTTAGGAACAGCTTGAAGATGTTGCTGACGGGAGGGAAGGCCAACCGCAAGAGTCGCAGCAGCGGTGAGTTTGTCTTCGGATGCCAGCCACAAACAATGACGCATCTGCCTGTCAGCGCACAGAAGGTGGTCACTCACTTGTTTCTGTGGGTCTATTTTAGGAAGCATCAACATGCAGAACACAAGATGAAATGTATTTTGGTTTATGAAAAACTGACTGATAACGTCCTCTTGAAAGCTGCTCTCTGCTTAAAATAGATCCAAACCAGCTCATTAGTTCTGCTGCTTGGATAGATTTACCTCCTGTTGTGAGGACCTGTATTTTTCTAGACACTGGAAACTTAAGTTGTTTTCCACACATGCACTCCTGAACATTACAGACAGGCTGCCCCTGAAATCTGCCTGACTTGGTTGTTCGCGCATGCATCTCACAGCGGGAGATGACTAGCTCAGACACAGCATGGTGCTTGTTCATTCATTCAGCTTTGGAAAATAGAGATAATCTAGAATAACTATTTATAGGTGTGTGATAGCCAGCTGTCGGGAGACTTTATACTTCAGTGATAAATATAAACTTAAAGGAAGAATGTGCAACATGTTACACATACAAACAGCAGAAATGAAGTATATCCTCTGAGTCATGACTGTCTGCAATGAGCGAGAAGCTCGAGTCCCGTCAGCTGTGTTGTTGTTGGAGCTGTGTTAACATCATCTTTACATGGACGGGACGGCCTTGTGTATAAAAGCTGTTTCAGTCAAGGACTAGAGAAAAGAAGAATAACATACTCACTGTTTTTTGGATATCATATAAGTGTGTTTAAACCTCGGTCAATATACATGTGAATTAGGAGCTAAGTAAAGAGCGCTAACACAACAATGCAGGCCACAAGCAATTGCAGCTCGAGCAAAGGACAATTTTGTCTCGCGCTTAATGGTGATTAATTATGGTGCGTTCTAATCCATAACTTCTGTGTGTGAACATGAGTGGAGAGGGGTTTAGAGGTGTGCCGCTGGAGGAGAGCGGAGGCTTCAGAATAGCGGAGGTGTGGCCAAACAGCGGTTTGTTTTTTGGGTTCATGCTCGTGCTCAAGGGCGACATCTACTGGATCAAAAAGTTGCACGTTCTTCCTTTAAAGTGTAAATTGATGGAACAGCACCTGAGGAGGAAGACTCATAATGGGCCAAAGTCAATATGAGTAAAACTTTGACTTGTTTTATCCATCCATGTGATATGTGATGCTTATTCGGGTGTTACAGTTATACTATTATATGATTGTTCTTCAAAGCAGGGGATTCCTGCAATATTTGCTTGGCTTGTCTTGAAATTCATGCTTTGTCACGTTGTTCTTACTTGTTATCTGCTATAATAGACATCATCAAGTGCTGATTTTCACATCATGTGCTATAAAAATGTCCTTAAAAACCTCCTGTGCAGACGTCTCAGCAGCGACTTCCAGATCAAAACCATTTCTCTGTGTGGTTCACAGACTAATCCTCATGCCCCCTCTACCCCCACAGTCAGGTGAAATAACTATTAAATCACAGCCGCCGTGTTACCTTGAGGTCCTCGGTGGAACCTTTTGTTCCTACACTTGCATTACTGTCACTCAATACGTCTCAAACTCTCACTTAGAGGAACAGGGTCTTTGATGTGTAGGATAATCCCCGCCAAAAGCAACACTTGGGAGAGCTGAGTGTTCATTTTGTACAGTACAGTCGCTCTCATTTGAATCTAATAAGTTTCCGCTTATTGCCAAAGCCAGTGCAGCACTGTCTCCTCAGGATAGGGTCTTTTTTTTATGGTGTGAAAAAATGTGCCTTCTAAGGGCTTTGGTCCAGCCACCCACTTCACTTGATCAAATAAATTCATTTTGCAAAGCGTGAAAAGTCCCACAGTATGTTATGTCCCCATCTCTTCTCTTGACTAAACCTCTTAAGTGGATGTGTTTAGAGAAAAATAAAGGCTAGTAGTTTGTTTGGCCTTGGCATATTAATACTGGTAATTTGACTACTGGTGAATACTGGTAATTAATTTAATGGTGTGAAAAGTTGCCTGAAAGAAACTCAAGGTGCTCTACATCAGTGGTCCTCAACCCGTCTAGTCTCAGGACCCATCACCAACTCCTCCCTGAAAAATCGCAACTCAAATGTCGATATTTTCATCCAATCAGATCGATTTCATGAAAAATTGTGCAGTTTTTGCAGTTTGCAGTCGATTGTTTCGTACTTTAGACGGTGCAAAAACATCTGACAGAAACAAAAAACTGAACAAAACCCTCACGTTTGAAAAAGGGCTTGACGGTCTGTTTGAGACCCACTTTTGGGTCCCGACCCACCTGTTGAGAATAGTTGGTATATTGTCCAGTTTGGAAAGTCTGTTGATTCACCCCTCAGTCGTACTGTTGTGATGACACATTAATACGACCCTAGACTGAGCGTCCCTGAGTGGGCGGGGCCGTCTCTCTACCCCCATGTGGTGCAAGGCTCCATTTAAACATAGAGTTGAGAACAACAAATCCAGAGGGAGTTTGACTTCACTCTCTTTTCAGGAAGTTATAACTTCACGTTTTAGTTATATAGTGAATATTAGATTATTGCTGTGATATTCTGAATTTAACATACAGTATACCACCTTTCATGATCAAAAATGTGTCTTTTAAAACATGCTGAGACTTCTGCTATTTCGAAATAGTGAACACATTTCTTGCTTCTCCACTTAAATGACAACGTCCTGCACTGTGAGGCTTCAAAGCTGATGTGAGCTTGCTGCTAACAAAACCTTAACTGTGTTTGTGTATTGACGTGTGAAGTGAAGTGGAAAACCAAGCAGCAGCACATGACTCCAGTATCCTCCAGTGTCTTTCTTTGTATCCGTCAATGTGAAGGGAATCCTCTCCTCCAGAGTGCTGATCTTACAATCTGGCTGTAACATCTGTATCCTGCAGTTTCATACAGATTCAGGACATAAAAGTGCACACTCGAGTACACAGACACACTGCCGCTTATAACCTCTATTAAAGACGAAATTTACACTTATTAAACATTTTCCAGAGAGCGGAAACAAGAAATACTAGAGCCCCAGATGTTTTCTCACTTGGCTGTTTTCCAAGCTTTTCCAAGGACATCTGGGGGTCTGATTTATCTTCTTGTGACAGACAGGGGGCGCTCATGAGCTGTATCATGCCTTCTACTGTGGTCGGAGCAGTAGCACTCTTATAACAGCCCTTACACAGTATATAGTGCTGATGCACCGGCTGCTGTAATTGAGCTTGACTCGAGATGTGAGATTGTGACATGAGATGATCGTCCTCTTGTGTTTGATGCACTTTAAAGTGGGATTCTGGCTTGAGGAATGCCACGGCCCTCGTGGCGGAATAAATCCGCTAATCTGAAGACAACAGATGTCCTCTTGATCTGCAGTGAAGAAATTGTCGGAGCCCTGGGTAACTAAGCTGTTGAGTGACATTTTTTAAAATTGAATAACACAGATTAGCGGCTCCGATAGCAATGAGGCTGAGTTGGATGACTCACTGTCTTAACACACTCGGGGGGATAAGGTGTTCTATCTCAGGAACTGTGAAACTTATATGTCCTCTCCTATTTGTAAAGATATATTAGGCTGCTTAGACACGGCTTTTAAGTTTTTTGTTCACCATTGGAGTCAGATTTTCACATTTTTAGTTTGGTTCATTGGTCAGATGCCAAAAAAGATACAGTATTTATTTATAACAAAGATTTTCTGATATCAGTCCCTCCCTCCCAATACCAATTCCATTAACTGTGTTATGGCAAATACTGGGTACCATTCAAAATTTAAAAAAAAATTAAGAAATAATGTATTGCTAACCTCTGCCTGTATCGGAGCCCAAGAAAGTTTGATGGTCATTCCCAAAAGCTGTGTTGTTGTCAGACATTAGCTGACAGGTTCTCAGATTGCTAGCTTCAAGTCTTCTTAATTATGGCATGAAGTCAGTATCGTAAATAATATTCTACAATTCACTTAGCAGACGCTTTTATCCAAAGCGACGTACATCAGAGAGTAAGAACAACACAAGCAAGGATCTAGAAAAAAGGGAACAATGTGAGTAAGAGCAAACGATCAGCTTTGAGTCTGATTGGACACACAGGTGCTGACAGGAAGTGACCAGAGGCAAAGCACAACATTGACAGCAGTTCTTGAGAGCTCTAATCAGTATAGAAACCATCTTATAAGTCATCGTTATCAAACAAAAACCATCGTCATTACCATCATCATCATTAATAATATGGAGACTTACATCATTAAGTTAGTAGGTATTCATGAAAGAGCTGGGTCTTTAGCTTTTTCTTAAAGGCACAGAGGGACTCTGCAGATCCAATGGAGTTTGGAAGTTCATTCCACCACCGGGGGACGACAGAGGAGAAGAGTCTAGTCAGAGACTTAGGACCCTGTTGTGAAGGTTGGATCAGACGCTTTCTATTAATGAGGTAAAGTAGAGCAGGGAATACTTAAAGGGTATGGCTACGATTGGTTAACATGTTGCTGTCAAACATGATAGTGACCTACCAATGATTATCCAACCTCTCGTCCAAATATGGCCAATTTGATTGAAGGGATTGAAATGAAAATGCCACACTTAGGGCATAAACAATTGGGTATTAAATCTAATGGGTGAAGCCAAGACTACTATTTGTACACTTCTTGTATTGAGCCTGATATTAACTTGCAGCTCATGATTGGACAGTTTTTTTTTGCAGCTGTAAGTAGTCATGTGCATTATGTTGAGTCTTATGTATTATGGGAGAAAGAATATCGTGTTTCTGTTCTCAGACACTATCATTAATATTTGAGTCAGTCTGTACCTTGTTCACATTCCTCTCAGTCCGACCACCCTGCAATTAATCCCATGCCTTTAAAGTTCTGAAGTGAACGTTCACTTTGGGAGTGTGCATAATCGTTCACCCTGAGATTCAGGCTGTTTGAACAAAAAGGACAAATTGAAGTTACAGCAGCTTGGCAGATATCAGATCTGCTCTGATGCTTCTCTTCAAGACAAAAGTCAGACTTCATCCTGCACCCATATG